ACTCTCTCCTACAAATCCAAACAGTTCTGCAAAGGTGCTCCCGGCCGATTCGTCTACACTGGTAAGTGTACGGTTTCCTTACTCCTTTCAGGATAACACCTCCCGTCAATTAATGATACACAGGCAGTGCAAAGCGCGAGTGTTACGATGCTGTTAAAAAATAGGACGTGTCTTGCAGGAAGTGTAACTGGTGGTAGCTGGGCCTCAAAATACCTGTTCCTCTGGGCACCCAGGAGCCCTGGTACCTATCCAAGCCTCTTGGGTCTTAAAAATGTCTCGAAGTCTCATGGGATCAAGCTCTCTCACAAGATGCCTGTTACTTCCTGTTTTCATTTTGGCCAGAAATAGATTAACAGCGGTATTTCCTACTCTGCTCCAGCCAGAAAAGGGAGTTAAGAAGTATTCAGTGATGAAAAATATTTTTCAGACTATCTATCCAAACTTCTTGAACTTCCCTAAAGGTTGAGTTGAAGTTTTAGGCACCGGTTCAAGTAGCTGGTGTTGGATCCAAAGAACTTTATCCAACCTTATTCACAATCTGGCTCTAAAAATTCTTTCAGACCTGAAACTTGGGATACAAACTCACAAGCCTGGGAATGATTTATTTGTGACAATTCTTTTAAATACATTTGATTTTAATTTACAAGAGCACAAGAAAAAGTCGGAACTTTGTGGTTTCCAGTGGTTTTAATATGAAAATTCTTACTTCGGGATGAAGTATTGCTGGCTTTTTATCTAAAATGTGTATTACAGTTTTTCTGGCATTTAACAATGAATTTAACTGAGGTGCTGGGAGGGAAAAGGGAGAAACAGCAATTTAATTTACCATACTTTTGGATGAGGATTCTAGGTAATAAATTGGATCTGATGAATCAATCTCTCTTTTGAAAACAAAGAGCCTTTAACTGTTTACTCGACAGACTGCAGGGATTCGGGGAGAGTTCTTGCTGCTTATTGGATAGATAATGCAGATTGCAGATGATGTGCAGATGATGTGCATTTTGATGAATATTTTCCCGCTAGACTGCAACTGTTTCTATCTATTAATTTAGATCTAATGGGAAAAGTGTGTTCCTGGGTAGTTTTAAGCTAGGACTTTTTAAACAGTTAACGCATCGAGGATATGTTTTTGTGTCTGCTTGAGATCTATTGCTGAAATGAACTTTTAAGTGATGGTAGCACCCGAGATTCCTATCTTCCATCTATCCCCAAAGAAATCACAACCTGAGCAAAACCAACGCTTGCATTCACACCTGGGTGCCTCACGTCCGGCTGACAAAGGAGAGAATATTTACATTTCCTTGATCTTTCTGATTGGGTTTTTACTGGAGTTACCAAACGGGGTGGTGGTGACAGTGGTGCTAACAACACAGCTCGAAAGCCAACGTTGTTTCATAGTCTGCTGCAAAGGTGGTAACCGCAGGTGGGGCTGCCTCCAGTCACGGTTACTGCGAACATGGCCCGTGCAAAGCTACAGCAGAGTATCCTGACAAGTATGACTAGCTAAGATAAGTGTTCAGCAAAATAAAAAATGAATGAATTAAAAGCCTTAGACTAAGTTCCAGATATTTTAGCAGTTGCGAGCTGGTGCAGTTCCATTGCACCCAGGGAAGCGCTGCAGATTTGAACCAGATGACGGTCTGGCTCTCAGTGCACAGGCCTGGAATTTTGAATTGCTCTACAGTAACGTCTTCAACTCATTGCTTAGGTGCGGATTTTGCAAATTTGGCAAATTTTGCTGTTTTGAACTTCTTTCTAATGTGTGAATGCAAATATGTATGAAACTGTAAGGAAAAGCCATTCGTTTCTTCTTTCCTGGGGTTGTCTTTTGTCTTTATCGCTAAGTAAAGATGTTCAAAAGAATCGTGAGAATGTCAGGAGCTTCTCTCTCTGGAACTAAATTGTAATAAAGCTACATTGCTAACAACACTTTAATGGGAATATATATTTAAAACACCTTTTGAGGGAAACAAAACCCTATATCGCAGCAATAAGAAAATAAAAAGATAAAGGCAGCGTCTGCCTGACCGAGAAACTTCCTGAAGTGATAGGGTGACTGAGATACAGTCTTTGGAAATTACAGCTGCCATTGCGAGGGAAGCCAAGCCTCACTGTATTTCAGAAAATGAAAATGATGTAGCCCTAGAGGAGGGAGGGGCCGAATCCCCAGGGCATCTGTTTCCCATCAGTGTCCCACCATGCTTGCAGTCTGGCTTGGCACTCTAACATTTAACCTTCCCAGCATGAGGTAGACCATAGGGCAACAAGGCTGCAGAATAATGAAACAAGAGTGTAGTGTGGTGTACAAAGCCTTTGTGAGCAGAGAAGTTGAGACATTAAATGATCAGGGTACAGAGATATGAAAGTTCCAGATTTTTCTAAAAAGCCCCCATTAGTCTCACGCAGAAGCAAGAGCGCGCCGTCTCTCAGCAGGCAAAGGCAAGGCCTTTCCCCATCTATCCATGCCTTTTTGCCCGCTGCTTTCAACTATTATAAAGATACAATTACCTTGGGAGATTGTGGCAGTTCAGTTGATTAGCACGGTGAATTAAAAGAATGAGTCACAAATGACATGTCCAGCTCTTCTCTACTAGTCCTTTGTATTCCCAGTATACCTCACCCCTGTTGTAAGAAGGTCAAAAATTAGAGAGAGATAACAATTTTCAAGCAGCTAGCACTTAGGAGCAGAATTAACAATCATTCTGTATGTAATTGCCAGTTAATAGTAAATTGCCTTCTAGACTGTAAAATGCAATATAAACTGGTGGGCACCTAAAATTAAATTAATGAGGTATTTGCTGCATTTAAAAGTGAATAGTGCAAATTAATAACTGGGTACAATACTTGTTTTAATATATATCGAACGGTGCATCGTTTGCTTGTTTAATAATAACTTTAAAAGTGCTACCTGAAAATTCTCTATCTGTCTGGGTAAATCGAGTGGCTTGTGCAGGTTGTAGCCATAATTTTGCTGGTAAAGTCTTCCAGGTTTCTCAATTAAATATCAGAGATTATTTTTTAATTAGAATATAAGCACTGCAGTGTTATTTGATTATGGCAAATTGTGATTTGTATGCTTCTAAATGAAATTATGTTACAGATAAAATTGCACCTTTATACACATATTTTAAGCTCTGTAGATTCTGTTGGTTTACTTTAAGATGAGCGGCAGTACTGTATTTACAATGTATTTGTGCCACTGCGTCACTGTTTTCTCTAAGTCTGTATTTTGCATAATGATTTCCTAGCAAATAAAGGAAGTATAGTCTGACCCAGTGTCTATTGAAATAGTTTCAGAGAACGCTATCTGGCACTTGGAACTTGTAATGTTGACGGCTTTCACCCTAATGTTTCTGTTGCACACCCTTATTTTGATAACTTCTTTTGCTCAGTTAAAGAAATGACCCAAATTGTCAGGAGACAACCGATCATTTGCAGTAGACTGTACCCGGTCGCTGTACGAGGTATTGGCATTCGATTGCAAACATGTCCAAAGCAGACATAGAGAAAGCGTGAATGTTGAATACATGGAACCATTCCCAGGTCTGCAATGCATTTGCTAGATGTGAACATAAAAATGATTATTTTGCACAAAGACTTGCATTCAATTTTAAGCTTATGAAACCATTACTCAACCAGTAATCGCTCACAGTTTGTGTTCCTTCTGATAGAGTATTTATGTTGAAGAAGTACGGCCGGGCTCTAAGGCTGGCACAGCACCAAGGGGGGGAAGCCCTCTTTAGTCACTACATTGTCCAGATTTTTCGGTTTGGCTTGGTTTTGCCTCGGTGCGGAGACCTCCGCTTTGGCTGGGTTCCTCGGTTAACCCCCACTCCACTTCCCCCTCTGAAAGATCTCGTGTTCCTCAAGTATTTTCGAGATCTTTTGTGTGCATTCAAATGGGATTCTGTCAATGGCGCTGTTACACTGTTTAGAGTCAATAGCTCCCTTCCATCACAGCCAACACAAACTAGCTGTCTCATAGGTCAGTGCTCTTTAAACAAATTACTTGTATCCACAGAGCAAATGATTGTTAATTGCCTCCCACAAATCATACTATTTTTACTATGCTAAACTACATGCGAATGCCTTAGTTAAATTTAAATCACCTGATTATTTCTTGTACATGTTCAATTATTGTTCTTATGTATGAAATCTGGTGACTTTGCGAAATGAATGCTAAAAATATATACAATGGATACAAGACTTTATTGGAAAGCCTGGGAAAAAAAAGTACGGTTACATTCATTTTAATGAAATCCTCAGCATTTCTAATTCATATATATTGCATTTCCTTTTTTTTTTTAAGTGCTGTTGTCCTGAAGCAACTTACAGTTACTGTTATTACAGTATTGGTTATTTATTGATCAGACCTTGTGTCAGTATCAGTTGTTAGCAAGCTGAAAAAAATCAAGATCGAACAAATATTCTTGCCCTTTCTTCAAGACAGGTCTAAGACAGTCAAAGTTAGTGTTAAAGAGTCAAAACCAGAAAGCATCTCTGTTAATATGTTAAACTGCTTCATTGCACTAGAGTAAAATATATTTTTCTTAAAACAGTAATGTCAAAGGGAAAGAGATTCCGGTTAAATGTCTTTTCTTATAAAGGAGGTTTTTCAGCATGGCATACATTTTTAATTAATAGGGCAATGCTAAACATACAGAAGTGATTTAGTAGCATCAAGTCAATAGCATGTTGGATAATGTATATTATATAATAGCTCTTTTTTAAACAGTAGCAATTCCAGGTTTATCAGGGTCATTGTTGTCCCCTTTCTTTTCTGTCTCAAAGGAGGCCAGAAGAATGAGACATACCATTTGTGCTATTGCACAAGTAGACTATTTGTCCTAATCAGTGACACCCATTTACTAGAATTGCTTAAAATGAACTATACCTCATACAGAAATCGCACATTTAGAGTGTTCCATTCATCATCTGAAAATTGAGGGCCAGTAAACTTTTCTGTTCCTCCAGCGGGATCATAGACATGCATCAAAATGTTAAAAAATGATTGGTGAGAGAGAACTGTCACCCATTTATCAAGGAAAAGGAACATTATTT